TATGTGTTTCATGTGTGACATTATTGCTGGGTATGTGTTTCATGTGTGACATTATTCATGTGTGACATTATTGCTGGGTATATGTGTTTCATGTGTGACATTATTGCTGGGTATATGTGTTTCATGTGTGACATTATTGCTGGGTATATGTGTTTCATGTGTGACATTATTGCTGGGTATATGTGTTTCATGTGTGACATTATTGCTGGGTATATGTGTTTCATGTGTGACATTATTGCTGGGTATATGTGTTTCATGTGTGACATTATTGCTGGGTATATGTGTTTCATGTGTGACATTATTGCTGGGTATATGTGTTTCATGTGTGACATTATTGCTGGGTATATGTGTTTCATGTGTGACATTATTGCTGGGTATATGTGTTTCATGTGTGACATTATTGCTGGGTATATGTGTTTCATGTGTGACATTGTTGCTGGGTATATGTGTTTCATGTGTGACATTATTGCTGGGTATATGTGTTTCATGTGTGACATTATTGCTGGGTATATGTGTTTCATGTGTGACATTATTGCTGGGTATATGTGTTTCATGTGTGACATTATTGCTGGGTATATGTGTTTCATGTGTGACATTATTGCTGGGTATATGTGTTTCATGTGTGACATTATTGCTGGGTATATGTGTTTCATGTGTGACATTATTGCTGGGTATATGTGTTTCATGTGTGACAGTATTGCTGGGTATATGTGTTTCATGTGTGACATTTGTTATAGACATTTGTATATTATGACATTTGTCATAATATACAAATGTCATAACATTGTATATTATGAAATATTTTCCACCTGTCACTTGCAGGTGAAAAGAAAATTGAGTTTGGTAACCGTTCACACTCGCCTATTTGACCTTACACAATAATAATAATAATAATAATAATAATAATAATAATAATAATAATACAAAAGGGAAACCTCACTAACGTAATATATCAATTAGAAAATCAATTGGCGCAATGCGGGGATTCGACCCAGCGACCTGAGTACTCCCAGTAGGGGAAACGTTCACGGCTGGAGTACCAAGATCCCTCGATCGATTCCCCGCACGGTTTCTCATGTTATCTTGAGATGATTTCGGGGCTTAGTGTCCCCACGGCCCGGTCCTCGACCAGGCCTCCACCCCCAGGAAGCAGCCCGTGACAGCTGTCTAACTCCCAGGTACCGATTTACTGCTAGGTGAACAGGAGCATCAGAGTGAAAGAAACTCTGGCAATTTGTTTCCGCCTCCACCGAGGATTGAACCCGGAACCTTAGGACTACGAATACCGAGCGCTGTCTGCTCAGCCATCAGGTTTCAATAGATTTTCTCAACAATAATAATAATAATAATTCAACACTTACAGACCGACGTTTATACATTGTATAGGGAAACAGGTTTCTACCGTGTGTAAACATTCCATTCCTACAAGGATTCGATCCCTGGTATAACTACCGTTGTATATTAAGGCATAAAATATGTAGTTACATTTCTAAACACACACACACACACACACACACACACACACACACACACACACACACACACACACACACACACACACACACACACACACACACGCACACATTTGGGGCACCTCGGCTGAGTGGACAGCGCTTGGGAGTCTTAGTCCAAATGGCCTGGGTTCGTTTCCCGGCGGAGGGGGAATCAATTGAGCAGTTTCTTTCACCCTAACGCCCCTGTTCACCTAACAGTAAATAGGTACCTGGGAGTTAGACAGCTGCTGCGGGCTGCTTCCTGGGGGTGTGTGCGTCCGCGTGTGTTTTTATATATATATATATATATATATATATATATATATATATATATATATATATATATATATATATATATATATATAGGGGTACCACCACTGGTTTAATTAAAGGGACCCACATCCTCGAAGAAGAAAATAAATAGTGTTCAGAGAAGACCTTGTGGATTCTCACTGAATACTTTAATCTTTTCCTCTCCTACCACCCCTATATATATATATATATATATATATATATATATATATATATATATATATATATATATATATATATATATATATATATATATATATATATATATATATATATATATATATATATATATAATATGTATTAGATATAACAGAGGAAAAATAGATTGGTTAGAAAGGCGGGGTCCAAGAGCTAGTAGCTCGATTCTGCAGACACAAATAGTAAATACACACACAGCCATACTAATAGACATCAGTGCCTATTCTGCCATTCCATATAGTTACAGAATACATTGGACAGACTGCGCCTATAAGTGTGACAATATAGGAAGCCGCTGCCCTCTCATATATGGTTGTAGCCGTGCATCTTAAGTCTCCTAATCTCCTCTAAACATGTAATACTACTAACAGCAAGATCATGGAGAAGATTGATCTCTTGGGGCCACGGACTCATCAAGTATTTACGCATCGTAACTTCCCAATGAAATTTGAATATTGTTTCGGAGCTCATAAAGTGTTTAATATATGTAAACAAAG